GTACCGTTGGAAGGCAAAGATTCGAATATAGTGATATCTGGTAATCGCTGGGAATATTATAACGCGTAGAGGTATTTCTGTTACTCGTGCTATTTGGTTTGTGTGTTCCGAAAATTACTAAAGATTTGTTTCTTTAATTCCCGACTTGTGAAAGAATACTTGCAAGGCTTCAGCTTATCAATAAATTTAGCTGCCCGTTGCAAAGGTGTAGTATTGTTCTGCCTTTTGTTTTCTTTGAACAAAAGCTGTATGCATAATATTATTAATGTATGGGGTTATACGGAAATCTTGCATAATCTGCGCTTTGTCTCAGCAGTTTTTTGTCAAGTGAAACATTCTTTTCATTTGATCGTAACATTCATGGGCCTAGTTAACCTGGCCTTCTTTTAATTTTTCCACTGTGATTTTGAAGGGGGACGAGGAGCGAGAGAGGCAGATGTCGAAACAAAACTAAAAATTGAAGCCAAACATAGTGTCGCTATCATTTGATATTTTTAATCCTGACTTTTCATTTATTCAGTTTTTAGTGTCACAATAATGATAATTTATTATTATTTGCTCATTTCATTGGCAGTAAAATACAGCTAAATACAGAGACATTGGGAAAATAAACTGTTTCCTTTCTCAGAAATGAAAAACTTACATATTGATGTATTGAAGCTTGTGGGATTTCTTTCTAGTTGCAAAAATAAAATAAATGAAAGCACATGATGTCTTTTATTTTATCAAGTTGAAAACAGTGATCAGCCCATTCAAGGAAATCTGACAGTCTTGGATTCTCAATTTTGCGCCATGGATACTGCATTCTGGATTCTCTGTCAGTGGAACATGGATTCCGGATTCCAGTTATAAGTGGGATCCAGAGTACTTTAGGACCTTTATTCCAGATTCCAAGAGAAAAATTTCCCAGATTCCAGACATGGGGTGACAGTGACCCCAAGATAAATACGTTTTCTGTCAAACTAAAACCTGTCAATTGAGCTTCTAATTACTGTAGGCTAAGTGTGCATGTTGTTCTTGTCACTATATCCTTGAAAAGGGGGTTTGTGGACCAGGTGAAAAAGTGGCTGGTACTGTAGTATTCCAACACCAGCTGGGTATGATTGTGAAGCAGCTATAATTCAGTTCTAAAACTTGGATTTAAAAAAATAAACTACTTCAAAGGGTGCATATATCACTATCCACTGAATAAACAAGAGCGGAAGGGGCCTGGAGCATCTCGATCATGGGATTTTTCATGTCGGGATGCAAAGGCTTTTGAAGTGTTTTGTGCCAGAGTCCCCATTAGCATAGTGAGGTTTTAGTTGCCTAGTCATGGCCAATGAGTTTTAGATCACGTGGTCCCAAGCGAAATAGTGAAACAGTTCCCCTCCAGTTTGCCTAAGATAAGTCACCGAAATGAATTGACCAAGAATTAAGGCCTTGGAAAATGCCACACAGGGACAAGGCAAGGCTTTTAGCTTGTTTAGGTGTTGCGGTGTGTGTGGTTGCAGCTGTTAGATGTGCTGGCTTAATACTTTCCAAGTCTACTTTAAGGTGTTGGTTAGTCTTAGTCATAGTGTCTGTATCATAATCATATCATCAGAAATAATCAGATTAACCCAGCTATTAAACTGATAATCGATTATAGTAGATTATAGATTTGTGACCCCTGTGTGCCACTTTCAACACTGAAAATAATTTTGTAAGTGAACAAAACAAAAAACCTACCCTGCAAGCCGATGCTTATCTGTCACATAGTTTTAAAAACCAACTAAACATCATATAAACTACATTAAGAGCCCATCAAAAAGACAACACAGGTGTATTAATGTCCTTATTTGTCAACAATGTTTTTGTGAATCTTCCACAACAATCAATTGAACATTTGTATAAGCAATACTCACTTTGCTTTAGGTTTCTGATGCTTTATAAATTATGATCGATAATCAGCACACCACTACCAAGTCATGTCTCAATTAGAGTACGAAAGGGCCCATCTGACGAGCAAAGCATGTTTGACTTAAAACATCTATTATCTCCAAATGAGATAGGAACTTTTACTGCGCACATGACTCAGATAGGACTATCAAATTTTTGAACAACTGGAGTCTAGCCTTTAGTCAATTTGCACATTGACATGGCAAAGTGCAGCCCCAAGTAATATGTCATATAAACCAAAGTGAGGGATTAAGAACGTTTTTGCTCTGAAAATCAAATCTATTTCAAAGTGGAGAATACATTTTGGATTGCTATATTAGAAACAATGGAAACACTCTTCACCTTTTGCTAGCTATTAAAGCGGGTTTAATGCTTTTTTTTACATCTGAGAGGCAAAAAAAAAAACAATAATAACAACATCTTAAATCCTCTATTAAGGCCTCCTCTCTCAAATAAGCCCTCCTTTTCAGTGAAAGAAAGTTTTAACAATAAGCCCCCGTCTTTTTTAAACCCCCATCCCACCTTCCCCCCTTTTCTTATTCTTCACTAATAAATAAGAGACTGTATAAATCAATGAAAA